CATCTAACTTACCTTGAATCATTAATTTTTTCCTGTGACATTTTCTATGCGAAGCACCCAAATATTTTTTGGTTTCAAGATCGAATACACAAATTTTATTATATCCAGCTTCATGTAATTTTTCTTCACATATCCAACATTTGTTTGCAGTTTGATATTTTCGCCATAATTCAGGTGTTATTTTTTCACATGGAGCTATTTCATGAAGCTTATCTAAAATAACTTCTAGATCTTCTTGAAGGTTTTCCATTAAGTCTTTTATTATATTTTCTGATTCTCGATTAATCACTGGTTTTTGTGTTGTTCTATCTGAACAATAAATAGTATATCCATATGAAACTGCTATCTGCTTCGCTTCTTTTATAGTATTTTCTTCTTTATCTTTTTTATCTGCTTCAATTTCTTTGGCTTCTAAATCCATAGTTATTAAATAAGGTTTCATTAACATGTTTTCGATATACTTGGGTTTTACATAATTCTTACCTTCTTCTGAGAGAATTAAACGTTGTAAAGCCTTATTTGGATCTGGACATGTAAGAATATGTTTCTGTAATAAATCTAATCGACTATATGGAAATCGCAAGCATTTTCGGCAAAGTATTTTTTATCATGATGGTTATTCCACTTATGTATTAATTGCTCAAAATCTGTTATATATACATAATGTGTTTTTAAGCCTTCTGGTATATCATTTTGATTTTTTTGATCATTTAAACTCTCTTCACCTTCTGTTAAATATAATAAATCTATCATATACTCTACTTGATAATTACATTCTGAAATATGTAATGGATCTATATCTACTTTTATTTTTCCAAAAGCTTCTCTATAAAATGGTTTAAATATATTGATAGCATAATTAGGATTGCTTTCTTCGAATTTATCTATATCATGGAGTGTTGCCAGAAATTTTATACCTTCAAAATTTGCTATATTTGCATTTCATCTAAGTCTTCAGATTTCATTAAGATGTAGTGGCTTTCTATTAGCTTTTATTGTTTTCTCTCTTGTGTGATATGCACTTATATACTATTTAAAACATTCATTATCATCCCTATTTTGTGGATTAATTATTCCTAGTTGTGGTTTATTTAAAGCTTCTGGTAAAGGTAGATAACTACTACCTTGCAATGGTCTGAATGCGCTTATTTCAAGAAATACCTCTTCTGCTCAGATGAATGACCATTCAGATTCTTGTAATGTCTCATCTTCTATTTCATCTATAATTTCATTATATCCTTTTTCTATACTTGCATTAATTAAATCTTCTCTTATAATTTCTATTGTATTTTGTTTGAATGGAATTGTTTTTAATATTGGCTCTTGAAATTCTGGTGTAATTTTCTTTATATGTGCTAATAATACAATTCTTACCTTTTAAACTTAATTCTCTTTTATATACATTAGCAATTTTTTCCTCGACTGACTCAAAGAAAGCTAATGGCTCACCTTTAGCAAAATATTCTTTAGGAACAGATGCGTAATAATCACATACTTCACCTTTATTAAATTTTTCAGCTTCTGATATTCTATTAATATATAGATCTACAATTTTCTCGAAATAAATATCTGGATCTTCATCTGCTGTGTCATATTCTGAATCACTGGGTTCACTACCTTTATTGTTATCATTTGACTCCATTAAATCAAACCATTCTTCGTCTGTCTTTGGTATAGGTTTTGACCTAATCTTTTTATTATTTTTAATTCCTGGTTTTGATAACCATTTTAATAACTCATCTATTGTTAAAATTGATTTCTTTTTTTGTTCTCCTTGAATAATAGAACTTAGCCCCCGCTTTTATATCATCAGTTAAAAGGTCGTCTGCCAGTGCATTTACTTTTCTTGATGTTGGTGGGTTTTCATCAAATGATATGAGATCACCTTCAAGAATTGGTATTGGATTTTGTGCTGGGATTGGGTTTTCAACAGGATTTTGAATGGGTGGATTTTCTACTGGAACTGGGTTTTGCATTAAACACAAAGCTGGTAAACATTGACCTTTACGAAGGTTTCCATTTAAATTCATGTGTTTATTAAGATCTCGAGTTTTACTAGTTCTTATTTCTCGATCACAACCTGGACATTTAAGTATCTTAGCCATAGTAATATGTTTTTTCGGTGTTTTTTATTAATATACCAGATCTTTTGTTTAAATAAAAAATAATTAATTCAGTTATATAAATTTATCAAAATGTATGTGAATATACATGTGAATATATACACAACTCCGGAGAAGTCTGTGAACACGGATGCCGATGTCGTGAAGGATGTCATGAACATTGGAGAGCAAAAAAACATATTTTATGTAAGGTATGTAGTAAGCCAACTTCTTCTGCACCTGGTACTTGTAAAAAACATGCTAAAGGATATTATATTATGCAGTTTTATGCTCGACAGATACAAAATATCCTTATTCCATAAGACTTCAGATGCTCGAAGAGTGTCCATAGGGTCAGAAAATTGGCATAATTTTAATTGATTGATATTGCTAGATGCCATAGTATTCTCACTTCGTAAGACCAAAAAATATACTTGTCGTGTACCTAGGGCTTAGCTTATTGCTTTGTAATAAATTTTTAGCACTTATTATGGAATAATGACACTTCGTGTCTGTGCTTGCTCCGCTAATTATATTTTTTACTATACTTTTTATCAAAAGAATACTTTAAGAATACTACTACTTCACTTTACTTTGCAGTATTAAAAAAACTAATTGTTGACTAAATAGATAACTAATGCTTCGCTACGCTTCGCATTTGGAGTCACTATGCTCCTCCAGATCAGAAAGCTAAATAGTAATCAAAATAGATATCAAAAAATACACTACAAGGTGTCATATATAAAAAAAAAACACTGCGTATAGATTTATATAAGTTTATCAGGAATATACTAAAAAGACTGAAATCTATAAAAAAATGTAATTGTTTTAAAAAATGCACCAGTCTTGTACCTAAAAAGCCCTTTATTCTATTACTAATATAGTTATAAACAGAATTGCCTCTTGGAGAAGTTCAAACATCAAGAGCTATAAATAAAATTAATTAGTATTTATTATTATATAAATAAAAATTAAGTGTTGTCAAAAGAAAACCTGATAATTTAAATATAAACTATATTTAAATTGTTAGATTTTCTTTTAGCGATACTCAATTAACAAAATTATATACTTATATAAAGTTAAATTATCTGTTTTTTGTAGCTCGGTTTCCATTTTAACAACAATTCGTGCAATCTTACTATCAAGCACAGAACCTGAGAGTGTATCTTTATGTGGTGGTGTATAACCAGGCTATAAAGATTTCAAAAAATCTTGAAAATATGAATTATTAATAATCGCAAAGAGAATTTCATAGTATACAAAAGCTTTAAGCAATGCTTTTGTAATATCTGCAAATTGTTGAGAAGTTAATTTGTTAATGGACTGGTAGTGTAAGGTAATTGATTAATTGCTTGTTTTGGTTTTTTTTTTAGTAAAAAATTTATTATCCCTATTATCATTTACTTTTTCACCTCTTTTTGCAACTTCAATTAATTATTTTTTTCTAATATTGTCTAGTACTGGTCCTTTACAGTGAAGTGCTAAATGTGCTTCCATGACAGAAGGCTTTCCGCATTGCCATTTCTCCTTGTCA